CTCCCCCACTAGCAGGGTCACGAATAACATATTGACATGTGCCGACATGTGCTAGCGTTTATAACCTCCCCCACTAGCAGGGTCACGAATAACATGACCACATTGGAGACAAAACAGGCTGAAGTTAACAGACAAATCACAATTCACTGTCACTTTCAAATCATCAGGACAATTCACAATTACTTTCAAGTAGGCATGCTCAATTTAATGAAAAGCATAAAAATCTCATTTCAAATCAATCATGCTCGTGTAAAACGGGTTTAATCCCACCACCACTTCAAAAACAAATCAAAACATGCTTTTAAAACAGTACGGGCATTACCATAAATTTACTTACCTCACTTGCATAAAACCGAGCACTCAATTCACGTACTAACTGACAGAACGATCGGGAACCTAATCAAGATATTCAAGGATTAATTCTATACTATCACAAATTCACACTGAAATCGTCGTTAAGATCATTCCTATTCACAATGCTATATTTCCATAAATCTCCACATGATCAAATATCTCCAAATTCATTCTTATATCACAAACTAATCATTTAAATTCCCGTTAAATGTTGGCCCTCGGGGTATGAACAGTAACCGGTGAACAGTGACCCCGACGTGAACAGTAACTCCACTCCCACAAATTGGCCAAAACACTAGCTAATCTCACGAGATTTTCTCCAAAAATCACACGGCAATCAATTAACACTCAATCACATAAATCCCACTTCAATTAAGCTAAATCATGGTCCTAAAGCTATCAAATTCTTCCCCATTTTTCTAGCAAAATTCGGACATACACAGCCAGCAAACTAAATGAATAATTTCAAGCTTAAATGGCTGTCAACATACCATAATTCTCCAGCTAAAACCGGAGCTGCAGGGGGAAAGAGGCCGGCGGCAAACTGCAGGGAAAGCTCACGGGTTTACCCAAAAATTGGAGAAAATAAGAGCAATCAAAGTAAACCCAGGGAAATTCAAAGCTAGAGAAGGAGAATTCGAGCTATTTCTTACCAAAAAACCGAACAAATCACACCCACAAAGCAGGAGCAGCCGGCGGTGAGGAGCAGAGCAAGGCAGATCCGGATTTTCCAGCAGGGGAGAAGATTTCTGGGTTCCAAATCAGGTTCTTGGACAAGAAAAGAAGGCCAAAAACCAAGCTTTCTCACCAATTTTCCAAGGCATGGCTGGGTTCCTCTTTTTTCGAGTGGCTGCAGCGGGAAGAAAGGAGAAGAAGAGCAGAATCGGGCAAGGCTGGGAAGAAAAGAAAGAAAGAAA